TATATATATGATTGTAAAACCATGACATACAAATCTATGTCGTAAAATTATGTCAAAATAATGATGTACAATATTTGTCGAAGTTTGGAGTCGTAAATTTCTATCAATAATTATAAAAATGTTACGAATTATAATATACAAAGTCAGTCGTAAATACATGTCGTGTATGTATGTCGTAATTATAGATCATAAAGGTCTGTCGTAAATTTTATGGCAGACAAAATGTCTGCCATTTTCCTTTATGATATGACTTTCAATGACATACGTTTGTCTGTCATGTATATGCATTTACGACAGACAATATCTATCAAGGAAAACTTTTTTTTCTAGTAGTGAAAGTCTAACTTATATCTTCGTTATTGTTGATAGACAACAGTCTAGTCTGTTACACATCGTCTGAAGCTAAAAATTGGAGAGGTGCAGGAAGCTTTTAAGAATACGCTTACCTATTATTACATAACGGACGATTATAACTGCTGTAGAAAAGGTTTCTTGATCTATTAAAACTGATTCGGGTTCATAATTGGTTGGGCTCTCCCTTGGCTTTAATTAGGGTGGTGATCTAATTGGAGATTTTTGTTCAGTGTTATGGAATTCGAATAGAAGGTGATAAGAAGCTAATGGATCAGTAGAAGGGTGGTGAGTAATTGGAGATTTTTGTTCAGTGTTATGGAATTCGAATTGAAGGTGATAAGAAGCTAATGGATCAGTAGTCATCTACTATATTATGATTAACATTTAGAATACCTTTTGGGGATATTAAGTTTTGTATCAACTATTCAAGTTGTTTCGTGTAGTTGCATTTTGTCTTTGGTGTGCTCTCCACTTTGTATTCTGTTTTTCAGCCTCTTTTGGGTTCATTTTATGTTATTTTATTTTATTATTCTTTTTTTTTAAATACTGCCGTTCAATAAAAAAATTAAATATCGGCGATGATTTTTTGTTGAATTAACTTGGCATCGAGTCCTTGAATTTGTTAAAAGTATTTTTATGATAGGTCGTTCACATAAAGCAAATTACTACACTAATATTTGTTAGTTTTAAGAGCAAATTACACGAATGATCCTTTAACTTTACAGTTTTTCTCTGAAACAGTCCTTACGAAACTTTTTCCCCTAAGGTGGTCCCTACGGAGCAAACATTGCACATAAACAGTCATTTTGACTAACACCGTTAGCTTTTCTGTTAAATTAAATGAAAAGACTATATTGCCCTTGCACATCATTACACACATATCAATTTATCCTTCACATAAACACTAAACATTCAAGAACACACACCCTCTCAAGAACACACCACCTACTGCCACCATCAGCCACCACCACCATCCATCACCAAAGTCCATTACCGTCGTCCGCCTACTACTACCAGCAGCTACTCCTTCCTCCGCCACCACCAGATATGTATTGAGCCTTCTCTCGCTAGCTCTCTCCACCAATCCACTACCGATCTCCTCCTTAGATCTTGGTTCATTGGAATTTGCAAACGCCAAATCAGATCTGATGGAAGAAATCTTTACTCCTCCTTAGATAGCAGTTCATCGGAGCCTTCTCTATCTCTCTCTCTCTCTCCATCTCTCTATATCGTCACCTTCACCCAAAATTCGTAAGAAAACCTTACAAAAACAATCACGTTTTCCATCATATTTTACCATCTTGAACATTTAAAACATCATCCTCAACTTTTGATTTTTTAGTTCAAGTATCAAGACGTTTTCTTTTTGATTTTTGAGTTCAAGACATGTCCTAACTTTTCAAAGTTTAACCTCGATTTGTATCGGGTCCGCCATTGTTATTCGAGCATCAGATTTGTCATTGTTGTTTATCCAAGCTCGATTTTCAAGTTCA